GGGGTTTGGGCAAAAGGGGATTTGGGGGGGGAAATGGGGGAATTGGGGGGGAGAAAAGGGGATTTTTTAGGCAAAAATGGGGATTTTTTGGGGAAAAAGAGGGATTTTGGGGGGAGAAACGGGGATTTTGGGGAGAAATGGGGATTTTTGGGGAAAAAAAGAGGGATTTTGAGGGGAGAAATGGGGATTTGGGGGGGGGAATGGGGATTTTAGGGGGGAAAAGAATGGGGATTTTAGGGGGGAAAAGAATGGGGAATTGAGGGGGAAAAATGGAGATTTTGGGCAGGTGCACCTGGGGGAAAATGGGGATTTTTGGGGTGAAAAACCTGGATTTTGGGCAAAAAGGGGGATTTTGAGGTGAAAAATGGGGAACTTTGGGGTGAAAAAGGGAGATTTTGGGGTGGAAAAGGGGGATTTTGGGGAGGTGCACATTTAGAGGAGGAAAAGGGGGATTTTGGGGTGGAAAAGCAGAATTTTGGGGTGGAAAAGGGGGATTTAGGGGTGGAAAACGGGAATTATGGGGTTTGGGAATTGGGAATTTGGGGTTTGGGAATTGGGAATTTGGGGATTTGGGGTTTGGGATTTGGGAATTTGAGGGGTTTGGGATTTGGGGTGTGGGATTTGGGGGGTTTGGGACTGGGGATTTGGGCATTGGAGATTTGGGGATTGGGGTTTGAGGATTTGGGATTTGTCATTTTACATCCAATTCTTTCAGGTGTTTCTTTGTGTATTCGTGATATTTACGTGGTGATCTATTGGTAACTCATCTGTTTATTTAATTTTCTATATTTGTGTATTTACAATATCTAGTTATATATTTATCTATTTTACATATTTATATTTTTAGTATCTGTTGATATATTTACAGATTTTACATATTTATAGTACCTATGTATATATTTATTTTATATATTTTGCATATTTATAGTACCTATTTATATATATTATCTATTTATATATTTATTTTATATATTTTAAATATATATTAAAAATATATAAATAATGTATATTTATGTATTTAATAATTTATATTTAAATATTCAATCTATTTTACATATTTATATTTATGTTTATAGTATCTATTTATATTTATTCTTATATATCTTGCATATTAACATTTATAATATCTATTTACATATTCCACCTAATTTACATATTTATATTGATCTATTTTACTGTAGTTACATATTTCTGTAGTTATAATATTAAGATTTCAATAATATCTACATATTTCTGTACTTCTAATTTTGCATTTTGCATCAATCACTCAGTGAAAGTCCCAATTTAAAATTGTAAAACGTAATGAAATTTTGAAGTATAATTTAAAAATTACAATTTAAAACTGTAAAACGTAATAAAATTTTGAACTATAATTAAAAAATTACAATTTAAAACTTTAAAACACAATAAAATTCTGAACTATAATGATATTTTTTTAAAATAAACCTTTTAAAACAAACCCTGACCCTTTTTTCTTCTCCTTCCTCTCCACAAATTCAATCAATTTGATACAATTAAATAAAAGAAATCTGCATTCCAAAAAGCCCCAGCAGTTTTGGGGTCCCCCCAGCAGTTTTGGGGTCCCCCCAGCAGTTTTGGGGTCTCTCTTTCCCCACTGTCAATTTTGGGGTTCCCAGCCTTGTTCCCCCCCAGTTTTTGGGGTCCCCGTCAGTTTTGGGGTCCCTATCAGTTTTTGGGGTCCCCAGCAGTTCTGGGGTCCCTGTCAGTTTTTGGGGTCCCCGGCAGGTTTTTGGGGTCCCTATCAGTCAGTTTTGGGGTCCCCAGCAGGTTCTGGGGTCAGTCAGTTTTGGGGTCCCTATCAGTTTTTGGGGTCCCCAGCAGTTCTGGGGTCCCCGGCAGGTTTTTGGGGTCCCTATCAGTCAGTTTTGGGGTCCCCAGCAGTTTTGTGGTCAGTCAGTTTTGGGGTCCCAGTCAGTTTCGGGGTCCCAGCAGTTTTGGGGTCCCTCAGTTTCGGGGTCCCCAGCAGTTCTGGGGTCCCCCAGCAGTTTTGGGGTCCCCCCCAGCCCTGTCCCACATCAGTTTTGGGGTCCCTCAGTTTCGGGGTCCCTCAGTTTTGGGGTCCCAGCAGTTTTGGGGTCCCTCAGTTTCGGGGTCCCCATCAGTCAGTTTCGGGGTCCCTCAGTTTCGGGGTCCCTCAGTTTTGGGGTCCCTCAGTTTCGGGGTCCCCAAGGGGGGTCTGGGGGTGCCCGGGGGGGGTCAGAGAAGTTCGGGGGTGCCGGGGGGGGTCTCTCACCCATCTGCATGCAGATCTCGCCGATGGCCCACGTGGCGTTGTTGCAGACCGAGATGAACTCGGGGTTCAGGTTGGTGCCCAGGATGGGCATGAACTCGGCTGGGGAGGGGGCACAGCTGAGCACAGACCCCCCCCCAAACCCCGAGATGAATTCGGGGGCGTCCCCCCCCGGCCCAGGGGAACCCCAAAACTCACCGATGCAGGGCTTGACGTGCACGAAGCAGGCCTTGGTGAGGTCGCCCAGCAGGGCGAAGGAGCTCTGCCGCACCTCGGGCATCGTGTCCTGCCGGGCACAGCCGGGGCACCCCTGAGCTTTTTTGGGGGACACCCCGGGGGTTTTGGGGGGCTCAGGGGCGTCCCCCCCAGCCCTGTCACCTGCATGCACTGGAAGAGCAGGGTCATGATGTTGGAGCGGGCCACCAGCTGCTCCACGTGGCCGCCCAGCCCCTCGGCCAGGCCGCTCAGCAGGTCCAGGGCCACGATCATGAAATCCTTGTCGGGGGCCTCGTACTGCTCGGGGTGCTGGTTGTACATCTGGGGGGGGTGACAGTGTCACTGTCGCCGTGGGTGTCACCCCCCCTGACCCCCCCCGGGGCGGGGGAGGGGCTCACCATGGCCTGGGCCAGCGTTTTCTGCACCAGGGTGACGCAGCGCTGGTAGACGGGCTCGCAGTAGGGCAGGAAGCCGCTCTGCAGGGCCGTGGCCACCGAGGACAGGCACTGGGGACAGCGGGGGACATCGTGGGGGGGTGGCTCGGGGACGGTCACCCCCCCCTGGGGCCACCCACTGCCCCACCTCCAGCAGAGGGAACAGGTCCTTGTCCTCGTCCTTGAGCTCGTTCCACTTCTGGATCAGCGGCGGCATCAGCTTCTGGATGTACTCCTGGGGACAGGGGGACACCGGGCTGGGGACAGGGACACCGGGCTGGGGACATCCCAGAGGGGTTGGGGACAGGGGGACACCGGGCTGGGGACACCCCAGGGGGTCTGGGGACACCCCAGAGGGGCTGGGGACAGGGGACACCGGGCTGGGGACACCCCAGAGGGGTTGGGGACAGGGGACACCGGGCTGGGGACACCCCAGAGGGGTTGGGGACAGGGGACACCGGGCTGGGTTGACACAAGGCTAGGGACATCTCAGAGGGGCTGGGGACACCCCAGAGGGGTTGGGGACACCCTGAGAGGGTTGGGGACAGGAGAGAGAGATTGGGAACACCAAGCAGGGGCTGGGGACACCCCAAAAGAGTTGGGGACAGCCAGCAGGGGTTGGGGACAGCAGGAAGGGGTTGGGGACACCAAGCAGGGGTTGGGGACACCAAGCAGGGGTTGGGGACACCAAGCAGGGGTTGGGGACAGCCAGCAGGGATTGGGGACACCAAGCAGGGGTTGGGGACACCAAGCAGGGGTTGGGGACAGCAGGAAGGGGTTGGGGACACCAAGCCCACCAGCCGTGGCCTGAGGCCCTCAGAGCACAGAGATCCACAGGGGGAATTCGGGATTCGAATGTCTGTGGTCATCACCGGGCTCAGCAGGGGACACCGGGGGCTTGGGGACACCGGGGGACACCGGGGGGCTTGGGGACACCCAGCAGGGGTTGGGGACACCAAGCAGGGGTTGGGGACAGCCAGCAGGGGCCACCAGCCGTGGCCTGAGGCCCTCAGAGCACAGAGATCCACAGGGGGAATTCGGGATTCGAATGTCTGTGGTCATCACCGGGCTCAGCAGGGGACACCGGGGGCTTGGGGACACCGGGGGACACCGGGGGGCTTGGGGACACCAGGGGACACCAGGGGCTTGGGGACACCAGGGGACACTGGGGGGCTTGGGGACACCGGGGGACACCGGAGGGCTTGGGGACACCAGAGGGGTTTTGGTGACACTGGGAGGGGTTTGGGGACACCATGAGGATTTGGGGACACTGGGGAGGGTTTGGTGACACCAAGGGGGGTTTGGGGACACCAGGGGACACCGGGGGGTTTGGGGACACCGGGGGGGTTTTGGAAACACCAGAGGGGGTTTGGGGATACCGTGGGACACGGTGAGGATTTGGGGACACTGGAGAGGGGGTTTTGGGGACACTGTGGGGGTTTGGGGACACCAGGGGATACTGGGGAGGTTTGGTGACACCGTGGGACACGGTGAGGATTTGGGGACACCAGGAGGGGTTTAGTGACACCAAGGGGTGTTTGGGGACACCGTGGATGTTTGGGGACACCGTGGGACACCGTGGGTGTTTGGAGACACCGTGGGACACCGGGGGTGTTTGGGGACACCGTGGTACACCGGGGTGTTTGGGGACACCGTGGGACACCGGGGGGGTTTGGGGACACCGTGGGTCACCGGGGGGGTTTGGGGACACCAGGGGTGTTTGGTGACACTGTGGGATACCGGGGGTGTTTGGGGACACTGGGAGGGGTTTGGTGACACCGGGGGTGTTTGGGGACACCGTGGGACACTGTGGGTGTTTGGTGACACCGTGGGACACCGGGGGACACCGGGGGGGTCTGGGGACACCGGGGGACACCGGGGGGTCTGGGGACACCGGGACGCACCGGCTGGTTGAGGTGGTGGCCCACGGAGTCGGCCAGCGTGCCGATGGCGTCGTACAGGATGAGCAGGTTCTTGTGCTGGTACTTGCCGAAGGCGAACACCAGCGTGTCCAGGATGAAGCTCAGGTACGGCACCAGCTCCGTGCACGCCTCCTCCTCCAGCGTGGCGAAGGCGCTGCGGGGCCGGAGCGTCACCGGGGCAGGGTCAGGGTCACCGGGACACCGGGAATGTCACCGGGACACAGGACAGGGTCAGGGGGACACCGGGACAGGGTCAGGGTCACCGGGACAGGGTCACAGGGACACCGGGAATGTCACCGGGACACAGGACAGGGTCAGGGGGACACCGGGACACCGGGGCACCGGGACAGGGTCACCGGGACACCGGGACAGGGTCACGGGGACATGGGACAGGGTCACAGGGACACTGGGACAGGGTCAGGGTCACCGGGACATGTGAATGTCACCGGGACACCGGGGCACAGGACAGGGTCACCGGGACATGGGACAGGGTCACGGACACACCGGGACAGAGTCACAGGGACACTGGGACACCGGAGCGTCACTGGGGCACGGGACAGGGTCACCGGGACACCGGGACAGGGTCACCGGGACGCAGGAATGTCACCGGGACACCAGGACAGGGTCACCGGACAGGGTCACCGGGACACCGGGACAGGGTCACGGGGACATGGGACAGGGTCACAGGGACACTGGGACAGGGTCAGGGTCACCGGGACATGTGAATGTCACCGGGACACCGGGGCACAGGACAGGGTCACCGGGACATGGGACAGGGTCGCACGGGACACGGGACAGGGTCACAGGGACACTGGGACACCGGAGCGTCACCGGGGCAGGGTCAGGGTCACCGGGACATGTGAATGTCCCCGGGACACCGGGGCACAGGACAGGGTCACCGGGACATGGGACAGCGTCACGGACACACCGGGACAGAGTCACAGGGACACTGGGACACCGGAGCGTCACCGGGGCAGGGTCAGGGTCACCGGGACATGTGAATGTCCCCGGGACACCGGGGCACAGGACAGGGTCACCGGGGCACGGGACACGGGACAGGGTCACAGGGACACTGGGACAGGGTCAGGGTCACCGGGACATGTGAATGTCACCGGGACACCGGGGCACAGGACAGGGTCACCGGGACATGGGACAGGGTCACGGACACACCGGGACAGGGTCACGGTCACCGGGACAGGGTCACAGGGACACCGGGAATGTCACCGGGACACAGGACAGGGTCAGGGGGACACCGGGACACCGGGGCACCGGGACAGGGTCACCGGGACACCGGGACAGGGTCACGGGGACATGGGACAGGGTCACAGGGACACTGGGACAGGGTCAGGGTCACCGGGACATGTGAATGTCACCGGGACACCGGGGCACAGGACAGGGTCACCGGGACATGGGACAGGGTCACGGACACACCGGGACAGAGTCACAGGGACACTGGGACACCGGAGCGTCACTGGGGCACGGGACAGGGTCACCGGGAGACCGGGACAGGGTCACCGGGACACAGGAATGTCACCGGGACACCAGGACAGGGTCACGGGGACATGGGACAGGGTCACAGGGACACTGGGACAGGGTCAGGGTCACAGGGACACGGGAATGTCACCGGGACACGGGACAGGGTCAGGGGGACACCGGGGCACAGCACAGGGTCACCGGGACATGGGACAGGGTCACGGACACACCGGGACAGAGTCACAGGGACACTGGGACACCGGAGCGTCACTGGGGCACGGGACAGGGTCACCGGGAGACCGGGACAGGGTCACCGGGACACAGGAATGTCACCGGGACACCAGGACAGGGTCACCGGGACATGGGACAGGGTCACAGGGACACGGGAATGTCACCGGGACACGGGACAGGGTCAGGGGGACACCGGGATACCGGGACAGGGTCAGGGGGACACGGGAATGTCACCAGGGCACCGGGACAGGGTCACCGGGACACTGGGACAGGGTCAGGGGGACACCGGGACAGCGTCACCGGGACACCGGGGCACGGGACAGGGTCAGGGGGACGCCAGGATACCGGGACAGGGTCACCGGGACACCGGGACACCGGGACAGCATCACCGGAACACGGGAATGTCATGGGGACACCGGGACAGGGTCAGGAGGACAGGGTCAGGGGGACACGGGAATGTCACCAGGGCACCGGGACAGGGTCACCGGGACACCGGAACATCACTGGGACACGGGACGGGGTCACAGGGACACGGGAATGTCACCAGGACACCGGAACATCACTGGGACACGGGATGGGGTCACCAGGACACCAGGACACCGGGACAGGGTCACCGGGACACGGGAATGTCTATGGGGACACCGGGACACCGTCATGGGGACACCGGAGTGTCATGGGGACACTGGAAATGTCATGGGGACACCAAAAATATCACAGGGACACCACAAAAATATCACAGGGACACAAAAACATCACGGGGACACAAAAAAAACTACACAGGGACACCCCAAATGTGCCTCGGGGACCCCAAAAACCTCGTGGGAACACCCCAAAAGCCCCCAGGACCCCCCAAAACCCCCCCGCAGCCCCGGAGCGGCGCGGCCCCCCGGGTCAGGCAGTACGAACACCGAGCGTCCTCACTGGGATCGGGACAGCGCTGTCATCACCCCCGGGGGGCTCCCCGGTGTCACCTGCGTCACCTGTCCCACCCCGCTGTCCCCAAACCACCTGTGCCATCAGCCTGTAACGTCCCCAGTGTCACCTGTCCCACCCATCCCACCCCGGTGTTGTTTGTGTCACCTGTCCCACCTGTCCCCCCCACTGTCCCCAGTGCCCCATCCCCCCCGGTGTCCCCCCTCCCTGTCCCACCTGCAGGCCGCCTCCTGCACGCGTTTGTTGCCATCCAGGATGCGCTGCAGCAGCTCGGTCATGAGGGGCTTCAGGTAGAGCTCGGGGGGCTGCGCCACCACCCAGTGCGCGTAGCGGCTGAGCGTCCAGCACGCGATGGAGCGCACCAGCGCCTTGCGGTCCGCCAGGCAGCGGATCAGGTGTGGGATCAGCTCGGGCAGGTAGGGCACCATGCCCTGCATGCAGCCTGGGGGAGGGATCAGGGATCAGGTGTGGGATCAGGGATCAGGTGTGGGATCAGGTGTGGGATCAGCTCGGGCAGGTAGGGCACCATGCTCTGCATGCAGCCTGGGGGAGGGATCAGGTGTGGGATCAGGTGTGAGAGGTGCGGTACGATGCCGGGTGGGATCAGGTGTGGGATCAGCTCGGGCAGGTAGGGCACCATGCCCTGCATGCAGCCTGTGACACAGGATCAGGTGTGGGGTCAGGGATCAGGTGTGGGATCAGGTGTGGGATCAGCTCGGGCAGGTAGGGCACCATGCCCTGCATGCAGCCTGAGAGAGGGATCAGGGATCAGGTGTGGGATCAGGTGTAGGATCAGGTGTGACAGGTCGGGCAGGTACGGCACCGTGCATGCAGCCTGGGGGAGGGGGTGGGATCAGGTGTGGGATCAGGTGTGGGATCAGCTCAGGCAGGGACGGGACCGTGCATGCAGCCTGGGGGTGGGGGTGGGATCAGGTGTGGGATCAGCTCAGGCAGGGACGGGACCGTGCATGCAGCCTGGGGGTGGGGGTGGGATCAGGTGTGGGATCAGCTCAGGCAGGGACGGGACCGTGCATGCAGCCTGGGGGTGGGGGTGGGATCAGGTGTGGGATCAGCTCAGGCAGGGACGGGACCGTGCATGCAGCCTGGGGGTGGGGGTGGGATCAGGTGTGGGATCAGCTCAGGCAGGTACGGCACCGTGCATGCAGCCTGGGGGTGGGGGTGGGATCAGGTGTGGGATCAGCACCTGAGCGCTGTGATCCCCCCCAGGTGTTTTTGGGGCGCCCACCTTCAGCCATGGCCCCCAGCTCCAGGATGGATTTGGGGCTGCATTTGGGGTCCCCCATGACAGTGACACCCCCCAGGGTGTTTTTGGGGTGCCCACCTTCAGCCATGGCCCCCAGCTCCAGGATCCCCTGGACTGGGATGGGTTTGGGGCTGTTTTTGGGGTCCCCTGGATCAGGACGGGTTTGGGGCTGCATTTGGGGTCCCCCAGTGCTGTGATCCCCCCCAGGGTGTTTTTGGGGTGCCCACCTTCAGCCATGGCCCCCAGCTCCAGGATCCCCTGGATCAGGATGGATTTGGGGCTGCATTTGGGGTCCCCCAGGGCTGTGATCCCCCCCAGGGTGTTTTTGGGGTGCCCACCTTCGGCGATGGCCCCCAGCACGAGGATCCCCGACTCCTTGACCACCCACTCGAGGTGGAAGAGCAGCTCCTTGAGCAGGGGCAGCAGGTGCGGCAGCAGCTCCTCCCGGAACACGTTGGCCAGCACGTCCAGCGCCGCCGCCGAGCACTTCCCTGGGGAGCGAGGGGTTAACGGGGCACCCCAAAACCCACGGGGCACCCCGAAACCCGCAGGGGCACCCTGAACCCCCTGGGGCACCCCAGAATCTGCAGGGACACCCCAGAACACGTTGGCCAGCACGTCCAGCGCCGCCGCCGAGCACTTCCCTGGGGAGCGAGGGGTTAACGGGGCACCCCAAAACCCTCGGGGCACCCCGAAACCCGCAGGGGCACCCTGAACCCACTGGGGCACCCTGAACCCACTGGGGCACCCCAGAATCTGCAGGGACACCCCAGAACACGTTGGCCAGCACGTCCAGCGCCGCCGCCGAGCACTTCCCCCAAGCCCCCCAGCCCCCCGCCCGTACGCAGGTTCCAGTCGGACAGCGTGTCGTCGTCGTCCTCGTCGTCGCCGTCCCCGTCGCCGCCGTCGCCGCGCTGCTCCTCGTGCGCCAGCGTCACCGTGCGCGACTTGTGGAAGCGCGGCTTGATGTCCTGCTCGCTGTCCGGCACCGCCTCGTCCTCCTCCACGTCGCCCTGCGGGTATCGCCACACGTCGCGACATGACGTCGTCGTATCGCGACATGACGCCTTCGTGTCGCGGCGTGACGTCGTCGTGCGGCGGCGCGATGTCATCGCGGCGCGACGCCGCCATATCGTGACGTGATGTTGTTGTATCGCGACATAAAGTCGTATCGCGGCGTGACGTTGTCGTGTCGCGACGGAAAGTAATTGTGTCGTGACGTGACGTCATCGCATTGCGGCACAGTGCCATCGTATCGCAATATGGCATCATCGTATCGCGACATAAAGTAGTTGTGTCGTGACGTGACGTCATCGCATTGCAGCACAGTGCCATCGTATCGCGTTATGACATCATCGTATCGCAACATAAAGTAATTGTATCGTGACGTGACGTCATCGCATTGCGGCATAGTGCCATCGTATCGCGACGTAAAGTAGTTGTGTCGTGATGTGACGTCATCGCGTTATGGCATAGTGCCATCGTATCGCGATATGACATCATCGTATCGCGATGGAAAGTAGTTGTATCGTGACGTGACGTCATCGCATTGCGGCACAGTGCCATACGTCATCGCATTATGGCCATCGTATCGTGACGTAAAGTAGTTGTATCGTGACGTGACGTCATCGCATTATGGCATAGTGCCATCGTATCGCGATATGACATCATCGTATCGCGATGGAAAGTAGTTGTATCGTGACGTGACGTCATCGCATTATGGCATAGTGCCATCGTATCGCGATATGACATCATCGTATCGCGACGGAAAGTAGTTATATCGTGATGTGATGTCATCACATCGCGGCACAGTGCCATCGTATCGCGATATGACATCATCGTATCGCGACGTAAAGTAGTTGTATCGTGACGTGACGTCATCGCGTTATGGCGTAGCGCCATTGTATTGCGAGATGACGTCGTCATATCGCGACATAAAGTCGTATCGTGATGTCATCGCATTATCGTGGCACAACACCATTGTATCGTGAGGTGACGTCTGATGTAAAGTAATTGTGTCGTGACATGACACCATCGCATTGCGGCATAGTGCCATCGTATCGCGATACGACATCATCGTATCGCGACATAAAGTAGTTGTATCGTGACGTGACGTCATCGCGTTATGGCGTAGCGCCATTGTATTGCGAGATGACGTCGTCATATCGCGACATAAAGTCGTATCGTGATCATTATCGTGGCACAACACCATTGTATCGTGAGGTGACGTCATCACATCGCGACGTAAAGTCGTTGTATTGTATCGTGGTGTGACGTCACCACATCATGACGCGACGTCGTTGTGTCACGTGATGTCGTCATATCACAGCATGACGTCGTCGTATCGCGACATAACGTCATCGTATTGCAGTATGACGTCATCGCATCGCAACGTGACGTCACCGCATCGTGACATTACTCCATCACGTTGTGGCGTGACGTCACACCGCCACGTGACGTCATCGCGTTGCGATGCGAAGTCGTCGCCGTATCGCGACGTGACGTCACCGCGACAGAGCCCCTCCCCGCGGCGGATCAGACAGTACGAACACGAGTGACCATCAGGGGGGTCAGCGCCAGGCTGTCATCACTTCCGGTGCCACCAGTACAGCCCCAGTGCCACCAGTACAGCCCCAGTGCCACCAGTACAGCTCCAGTACAGCCCCAGTGCCACCAGTACAGCCCCACCGGTGCTCCCAGTACAGCCCCAGTGCCACCAGTGCTCCCAGTACAGCCCCAGTACAGCCCCAGTGCCACCAGTACAGCCCCAGTGCCACCAGTGCCACCAGTACAGCCCCAGTACAGCCCCAGTGCCACCGGTACAGCCCCAGTGCCCTCCCAGTGCTCCCAGTACAGCCCCAGTACAGCCCCAGTGCTCCCAGTACAGCCCCAGTGCCCTCCCAGTGCCACCAGTACAGCCCCAGTGCCCTCCCAGTGCCACCAGTACAGCCCCAGTGCCACCAGTACAGCCCCAGTGCCACCGGTACAGCCCCAGTGCCCTCCCAGTGCTCCCAGTACAGCCCCAGTGCCCTCCCAGTGCCACCAGTACAGCCCCAGTGCCCTCCCAGTGCTCCCAGTACAGCCCC